TCTGTTTAAAATTTTATTTCATTTGGAATTGTCATCCATTCATTATGATTAGTAGTATTTGGATTATAATGTATATTATATCCTTAATACAGTAAACAAAAGCTGCCCATGTGAAATAGTCTTAATGAATATGGACATTTCTGTTTTTCTAAAACATATGATATTATCTTGGCACTTCTTTCTATTTGGAAAGTTTCTAAGGCCCAATATAAGATTCTTTGTTAATGTAACAATCTTCTTTCCTTTAAAGATAAACATTGCATTTCTGACTCTCAGCCCAGAGTATGACTGCTCAGCCTCCCTGCAACCCACTCAAGGTACAATAGCTCTAGGAAATGTTCTTTTCACTCAACAGCATCAGCCAACGGACCAAGACGTTGAATAACGTGAGGTATAATTCCACAGAGATTTGAGAAAAATTAAAATTTTAATGACAAGTGATAAAAATAAATATACGAAAAGAGAAATATTTTAATACAATAACTTCTCTGCTTTTAATATACTTCCACCTGCTGAACAAATTTGTCCTGCTTAATATGGATTTAATGCAAATATTTTTAGATTGAGAGTTTGAAAGATGGTGGCATAGGAGGATCCTGGTCTCGCCTCCTCCAGCAGATGCAACAATCCTACAACAAATTTCCTTTGAGAGAGATCTGGAAACTGGATGAAAAGAGTCTCCACAACAAGGGAGAACAAGGAGAGAGGTGGAAGGAGCACACATACAGCCCACTTGAGGAAACAACACACCCTAGCCACAGTGCTCCACAGTCAGGAGCAATCTCAAAGGTACAAAGCTTTTCCTAGAGGAGCAGAGGACTCAATCTCCACATTAGCTACCCCAGCCCTTTTATCCAGCACAAGAGAGATGAGATCCAAAAACACCTGGATTTGAAAACCAATGGCCGTGGAGCCAGCCACACTGGGGGCCTGAGCAGTTGTGCATACCCAGGCTTAGCAACCAGCCACACTGGGGGCCTGACTCACTCACTAGCAAGCCCTCAGTAGTTGTGTGAAACCAGACCTTGCAGACAGCCATGCAAGGGACATGTCCTGCCCAATAACATGCCCACAGCAGCTGCATGTGGCCAGGCCTCACAACCAACCAGCCTGGGGGCCAGCCCAGCCTACCCAAGCACCCAGAGCAATAGCAGCTCTGCCACGACAGAAGAGCACACGCAGCCCACACAGAGGACACCCCTGGAGCATTTGACAAAGTAACAAAGAAGGGTATTACATTTATGGATAGCTATTTTTTTTTTTTTTTTGAGGAAGATTAGCCCTGAGCTAACATCTGCCACCAATCTTCCTCTTTTTGCTGTGGAAGACTGGCCCTGAGCTAACATCTGTGCCCATCTTCCTCTACTTTATATGTGGGACGTCTGTCACAGCATGGCTTCACAAGTGGTGTGTAGGCCTGCATCCAGGATCCCAACCAGGAACCCCGGGCCACTGAAGCAGAACATTTGCACTTAACCACTGTGCCACTGGGCTGGTCCCTGGATAGCTAATATTTTAACAAAGGAACCAAGAACATACAATGGAGAAAGGAAAGTTTCTTCAATAAACAGTGTTGGGAAAACTGGACAGTCACATGTGAAAGAATGAAACTAGACCATTATTTTACATCATACACAAAAATTAACTCAAAATGGATTAAAGACTTAAGTGTAAGACCTGAACCATAAAACTCCTAGAAGAAAACATGGAGAGTACACTCTTTGACATAGCAGTATCTTTTTGACATAGCAATATCTTTTTGAATATGTCTACCCATGCAAGGGAAGCAAAACAAAAAATAAACAAATGGGACTACATCAAACTAAAAAGCTTCTGCAAGGCAAAAGAAACCATCAACGGAACAAAAAGACAACCTACCAATTGGGAGAAGATATTTGCAAATCTTATATCTGATAAGGGGTTTATATCCAAAATATATAAAGAACTCACACAACTCAACAACAAAATAACAAACAACCCCAATCAAAAACTGGGCAGAGGATCTGAACAGAAATTTTTCTGGAGAAGATATACAGATGACCAGCAGTCACATAAAAGGATGTTCAGTATCATTAATTATCAGCGAAATGCAAAGCAAAACCACAATGAGATATCACCTTACAATGTCAGAATGGCTACAATAAAGACAAGAAATAACAAGTTTTGGACAGGATGTGAAGAAAAGGGAACCTTCAAACACTGCTGGTGGGAATGCAAACTGGTGCATCCACTATGGAAAACAGTATGGAGATTCCTCAAAACATTAAAAATAGAACTACCATATAATCCAGAAATTCTACGTCTGGGTATTTATGCAAAGAACATGAAAATGCTAATTTAAAAAGACATATGCACCTCTATGTTCATTGCAGCATTATTCACAATAGCCAAGATGTGAAAGCAACCCAGTGTCCATCAAGGAATGAGTGGACAAAGAGGATGTGGCATCTGTATACAATGGAATACTACTCAGCCATAAAAGAAGATGAAATCTTGCCATTTGTGACAACATGGCTGGACCCTGAGGGTATGATATTAAGTGAAATAAGTCAGATGGAGAAAGACAAATACTGTATGATCTCAGTCACATGTGGAAGATAAAATAACAATGACAACAAACCAACACACAGATACAGAGAATAGATTGGTGGCTACCAGAGGGGAAGGGGGGTGGGGGAGAGCAAAAGGGGTAAAGGGACACATTTTTACAGTGATGGATGGAAACCAGATTTTTTGTGGTGAACATGATGTAGTCCACATACAAACTGAAATAAAATGACAGGCACCTGAAATTTATATAATGTTATAAACCAACGTTATCTCAATAAAAAATAATAATGAAGAGAACAAAAGAAAACACCTTTATACACCTAGGTTGAATTTTCATTTTGCCCACGATTCCTCATGGAACATAGAGGGGGAAAAAATCACCAAATTGTTGTTACTCTATGTCAGCAAAACGACCACTCATTTCTACAGACTCTGTAGGGGAAAAAGTCAGACATACTGATTATTTAGCATTATTTCAACCAGTGTTGCTTTGTGGCAACACGTCCACCTGCCACCACAACTAACAGTAGTAATCGTTACACTTATTCACCACGTGCCAGGCCCTGTTCAAAGTGTTTTATATGTATTAACACTTTTAAAGCTCACAGCACCCCATGAGGAAGGAACCACTGTTACTTTCATTTTACAGATGAGAAAATTAAGGTCCAGAGTGGTTAAGTAACAACAGAGAGAAATTATATTTATCAAAAAACCAAAAACGTTCATAAGGAAGATAATCTGTCAGACAAAAGAGAAGAATGAAGTATGTGTGTTCATTTTTGAACATAGTTCATTTTTGTCTTTGAGAAAAAAAGACAGAGATACTCAAGATAAATGTTCCCCCAGATTAATTGGGCTACAGGCTCCAGGCTCATCTGAAATCTTGCCATAGACAAAAGCAATATATTATTTCTAAGTAAACAAATTTCACCTTACTCTAGGAGACTATATAACCACATTACACTGAATAATAATTTGAATGAATTTGAATGTAGAAATACACATTAAGGAAATATATTGTTTAGAGGTTAAAAGGATTAAGTACTTAAATGGAATTTTAATTAGAATATTGGGGAAAGAATAATTTCTAATGGCAGGAGCTGAATAAATACATTTGTTGAAAAGAATAAAGGGAGCACTCCAGCCTTTTAATTACTTACAACTCAAAAGCAAATTTTTGTGGGCCTCGATTATGCTCATTTGTTGGGAGAATTGTTCAATGATTCTAATTGATTGCATGTAACTCATTACTTTGTAACATTCAACGATTACTGAATTCCTAATATTAAGAACAATCAAGGGGTTGGCCCCGTGATATACTGGTTAAGTTCACACACTCTGCTTCAGCAACCTGGGGTTCACTGGTTCAGGTCCTGGGTGTGGACCTACAGACAGTTCATCAATCCACGCTGTGGCAGCATCCCACATAAAATAGAGGAAGACTGGCACAGATGTTAGCTCAGCAACAATCTTCCTCAAGTAAAAAAGAGGAAGATTGGCAACAGATGTTAGCTCAGGGCCAATCTTCCTCAACAGAAAAAAAAAAAAAAAAGAGTCCACTTCTTGTGGTTAAGGTTAGATTATGAGATTAAATCTTCATTGATCAAGTCTTAAAAATCAATCCAAGTTATTAGTGATATTAAATCATAGGTTGTACTGTAAAACCACTTTGAGCAGTATTGGGTTGAGTTCTCTTACAATGAATGTTGAGATTTTTTTCCAGAAATGGTAATATTGAGGTTTATGTATAAATGACACGTATAATAAACATAAAGCAATTAATTAATAATTTTTAAATGGTAGATCATTAACTGCTGCTTCTTTGGACAAAAGTTTAATTTTGAATAAGAACTTGAAAGAGGAAGATTATTCAAAGCTGAACTATCTAGAGAAGGATGGGTAGCAGACGCTGAGCGTCATGAGCACAGTGGGCGGTCAGTAAACGAGCATGTGTGAGAAGTGGAGGGAGCCCAGGTAAGAAAATCATAACGGAAAAACATCAAAGTGGTTTCTGTATGTAGGTGCAACCTAAAAGTATTGATCTATTTTATGACTAAGCATTTTCCCTAAGCTTTCAAAAATTTTGCTTTCAAACTGCACTGGTGGGGAAAAGCAATGGCACTTTTGTGTGACTGAGTTTTACGTTACATTCCGTGGGAGTAAGGAGCGTCTGATTATTCTTACTACGTGTTTGCTATTACTACGTCTTACCCTAAAGTCTCCAGGTCTTTAGATAATTTTGGAACTTTGCGTATAAAATCCAAAAGTGATTGTTTTTTGAGGAGATACAAGGAAAAATATTTTTAAATACCTGTCATTTCTAGATTCTTTATAAAACTAAATACATGGTTAAGTAGCTGTAATTGTGTTTTTTAACCTGATTTTTTTAACTATTTTTTTACTACAGTAGATAATTTTGCAAAAAAAAAAATAGATGAGTGGGCAGAGAATGGTTTGCAAAGTAGAATTTTATATTTTTTCTAGTTGGAGAAAGTAGTTTCAAGCGAAACAGATTTTTTTTCCCTTTTTAAAGCCATTAATCATTGGAAAAACAGCACAGGAGAGAAATAGGAAAGGTGTTGCAGGTTAATTTCTGTACCACAAGAAGCCGCAGGGAAGTTCAGAATAAGTGTGAAATCACACCGTTTTAAAGAAACGCCTCTTTTATGTGTGCCCCAATTTTAAAAATTTCTTTGGGACCTTTGGAAACTTCATTGTCATTGATTAATTGAATTTCAGAATTAAAGGGGTTATGTTTTTTAGATTTCCTTTTATATATAATGTAAACCACAGTTCTGTTCAGCAAATCTTCACGAACACATACAGCACACAATTGAAAGTCTGCTTCTCTTCCTTCTGAATTCTCGCCGTTGCCCTCCACGCCTAGGCCGGTGTCTGACTTTCTCCAAGCTCCACACGCCACCCATAGGCAAAGGGTGTGTGGACGCGGGCAGTGTGAGTCCAGCAGGTGCGCAAACCAGAAGAGGCTGTCACTTCACCAGACGGGAGGCCTGCAGGTGAAGGCACAGGTGTCCTGGCAAGGATACTCAGGGTAGCACAGTGACAGGGACAGCACAGGGTGGCATCCGGGCTGGAGGGAGAGAAGTGTGCTGCCCAAGGGTGTCCCCAGGTGGCTGATTTGTTGGACATCTTAACCATGCAGCATGTCAACAAGAGATAACGGAAGTGCTTACATGTGGGTACTTGTTCAAGAAGACACTGAGTGTGTGTATGTCTGTATGTGTATCTTCTTAATATATATACATATACGATAGTATATATGTATATCTTCTTGAGAAGATGTGTATATCTTAATTATGTATAAATGTATACATATGTACATGTTAATATATTTATATACATAGTACACACCTATATAAGTATGTATGTCTATATGCACACACTTTTATTGTTCCTAAAATAGAAAATGGACTTATTAAATCTACAAATATTCTTCTCCTTGGATAGCATTTTGAGATAAGCTGAGGAACTGTATTAAGTGTACCAATTTTCCAACAAAAAACAATAATCAAAGAAAAAGACTAATAGTAGAGTCTTTGAAATAACTTTACTATAGAATTATCACTTATAGAGATAAAGAATTACGTTTATGTTTAGAAGAATTTACCACATGATTTAAGACATATCTAGAGCTCGAAACATCGCATGTGTCATGAGGCATGGGAGCAATCTGATTAGTTTGGTTTTTTAAAGTGAGGTGTTATTTTTTTGCTATTAGATATTTTGGATGGTAAAAAATGCAGCATCTGAAATTTTTTCTTACCAAATGAAATGATGCACGCAAATATGTAGCAATATTTACCTATAATATTTCTTTTTTCATTCCATTAAATTTTGTTTTAATATTCTCAAACTTTTGAGAAATTAGCTATCAGAGATGCCTATGATGTGTATGTTTTATAATAATCTAGAAAATAAAAACCAAGGAAATGAATAAATGAAACAAGAATGACAAAATGTTGATAATTATTGAAGCTGGGTGATGAGTATGTGGGGGTCCCTTATGTGACTCCCTCTGCTTTTGTGTGCTTGAAAATCTTCAAAATAATTTTTTCAACCTGGTACAGATTTTTTATTAAGTTTTTTCCATTTAAAGATACAGATTTCAAAAGCTGACAATAACCACAGAACAAATGATCCACAAACATTTTTCCCCTCTAATTTTTACAGGATGCTGTCGTCATTCCTCTGTTTTAAACTATTAAGCTTGAATGGTCATTTGAGATGAACATTTCTGAGACTGTTCTGATTGAGATTGGGTTGGCTGGAGATCTGGGAAGACTGTCTCTTGCCGTTTCCAGCAGCTTTCCTGACATGCCTTGAAGATAAACACAGCACACACATTACATGAAAATGTCTCAACATCAGAACCATCATCTGCTTTCAAGAATTTGAGTCCTTCTTCTAGCTTCTTACCAAGATGGCCATCTTCCCCTTAAACCAAGTAAACTTGTAAGCGGTGTGAAGAATACAAAATCAAACATGAATATAGAGCCAGCTGGCCTGGGTGGTTCAGGCGATGACTGGTGCGGTGGAGCAAGTCACTGCCGTTGGTGATGTCGGTGTAAATAATCCACAACAAATACATAAATGAAAATTGAGGTGAGTTTATTCTGAGCCAGATGAGGACCATATAGCCCAGGCCTTCTTTCCCCAAGGAAGGAAGGGCACCAAAGAAGTGGGGTGCACAGAGTGGTTGTATACCCTCAAAGAGGATGTTTCACAAAGCATCCTTTTACAATGGTCACGAGACCGCTCTGACGGCACAGCGATTGATGGACACAGCAGGTAGGTCTGCTGTCTCAGTGGACACAGCAGGCTGGCAGGTCTATTGTCTTGAGCTGGGTGGTCACAGGTGAGCGGGGTGGTCACAAGTGAGCTGGGTGGTCACAGGTGCGCACAGCAGTCAGTTCCTAGCCTAAGGAAAGATGCTTATCCTTAAGGAAATGCCAATGTGGGAGAAGTTGTATCTTTATTTTAAGGCCAATTCTTCTGCCTTTGGGACACAGCATATGCTTAAATCAGATATACACTGCATGCTCAACAGCCATGTCAGGCCCTGTTGGAAAAACAAAGCCAGGCCAAATTAGGTTTACACCAAGTGGCTTCCTCAGGTACTCCAATATATCCTACTCTTTGCCATTTACTTGTCAGTGGGCTTTCTTGCTGTCACCAACCACTTTGCAGACACATTCTCAGTGGTGAAGCCCATATCGTCTCCTGGTGAACTAACTATGCTAAACTGTCCTGGTGTTATTTAGCAGAGTCCACTTCAGTTGACCATTTGACTGGACCAAAGGTAAGCACTGTGCTTGGCCTTAGAACACTACTCTGCAGAAAGCCCATAGAAATGGCTTATTTCAAGTTTAAAGACGTTCTGGATGAATAGACAATAGATCTTGTAAGTTGGCTAATTTGGTGATATGATATCCCCAAAATTTACCCCAAGAGTGAAAGGATATCAGAATTTGACTCCAGCATTTTGTCACAATTTGAAAAGAAAATTGGGATGATTGTTACCTGTATGCATTGTAGTCAGCTTTCTTGAAGTGATTGACTCAGTTGACAATTTCCTCATATCTTGCCAGGCTCTAGGGTGACTTTGTGGAACATACTTGCTAACAGCAACAATCATAGACATTAGAACAATATTCCTTGAAGTATCAGCTATAAATGCAACAAAAGTGCGGTATCTGTAATCAGTTTATGAATATTAATTCTTTACGTCCCAGGCCATCGGTATGGCTCACATAGTGTTTGTAGGTCTCCAGTCTCCCACTGGGAGCTGTTAATGGTGATATCGCATTCCCAGGGGTCTTCCCAAAACTCTGGAGGCGCATGAGGGAGACCTTCCCCATCTCAGCTGCCTCCTCCTCAAACTTCTCAACAGTTTATTTCTTGACTCCACTAATCTTCTCTTTTTGCAGTCTCAAATCCCTAATATATATTTTTAATACCCAGAGTTTTAAAATAGTCCTTTGGATTGTGCATGAAATTATCACATTTAGTGTTTGTGTGTGTGTATATATATATATACATATACACACACACATATATATATTATTCACATAAAACATGCTCTATGGGTGAAGAAAGATGGCAGTACTTTTTTATTCTGCAATTTGCTAACAATTCTTTGAGCATTGTCTTTGGTTTGGAGCCACACACTTAAGGATGAAGATTTTAAAAACATGGAGGATAAACTGAAAATCCATCAGGGTGACAAAAGGATCCCAAATCATTTTACATAAGGAAGAACTGGAAAAAAAAAAGGGGAATAGGAGCCAGAAAAAGAAGATTTGGGCTGTCATTGGGAAAAGGAAAGGAAAGGGAACAATGGGGTGGAAATGACAGACATAGATTTGGACTCAGCTGAAAGAAAGGCCTTTAGACGAGCTGCTGAAGTGGAATGCGAGGCCCCAGGAGGCAGGGCGCACTCCATCACTGGAGGTGTTTAAGGGAAAATGACACGAGCATCTGTCTGGAAAACGTCAAGCTATTTGTCTGAATGACTTCTAAGGTCTCTTCCAGTTATAAGAGTCTCTGATTCTTTCATCCCTTCCGAGTTAGTAAACAGGGCTTCCTACTGCAAACAGGACTGGCCGTGGGCTTCTTTACAATGACAGTGAGGAAACGTCAGTCTTCTGTAAATGTTAGTGTTCTCCAAACAGTAAAGATGTTGCTGTAACTCCTTAAATGTAGGTTTTGTTTAATTTTTCTTTGTAAAACTTCAAAAACATTTTAATGTAAAATAGTCAAATGCTTATTTTTCCCCCATATTAATGATCTCTTCAGTAAAGTGTATTTCTAACAGCTGAAAACGTTTCCATCTTCTGGTATACAGCCCTAACAGATTTCATACGTATGAACTACTGAGTGTATATTTAATGCCAAGGGAGGAAAAGGGTTAATTTTAGGGTGTGCCAGTGTTCTTTCGGGCCACTATTACCATATTGACGAAGAGCAGGATGGTTAAGAGCACCATCTTCGACACTGAACAGACACGGGTTCTCATCCCGGCTGTTCCACTGACTTAGCTACGTGAACTTCTGCCAACCAACCTTCCTGGCTGAGCCTCTTTCTTCATCTGTAAAACATACATGTCATTGCTTATTGCATATTATTATTGTCAATTAAATAAGATGATACACACAAAGCGCCTATCATACTGTCTGATGTATAGCAATTGTTCAATAAACATTAGCTGTTATCGTTGCTGCTTCTGTCGTTGTTGAAGGTGAACCAAAGAACATGAAATAAGTTTTTGCATTGTACAAAAGCTCCAGAAGTGTTATATCCAGTAGTTCCCTGATATTTCAGTACTCACCTAGGTAGCAGCTCTCACAAATTTGAAAATTTTTGCCTTTTGCTTCATCTTTATTTTCAATTTTATAAAAAATTTTGGGTCAATGTAATAAAGAGGCAAATTTTCAACATGAAAAATTTCCAAAATTGATATCATAGCTAGATTTACACCTGAGATCATCACAATAAATTTGAAGTAGCACATTATGCTTAGCAACCATGTGTGACCTAAAAGTTAAGCTTGCCCTCAAAATATGTTGTTACACATCATTTGCAGTATTTGTCAAAGTATAATTGCCATATATCATGAATATCAATGTAATTAACAAACATTAATAATGTTCTATTTTATTCAAAAAGCAATTATTTTATTAAGCTAAAAACATTTGCCCAAATTTTCTGCACAGTACATTTGAATAGAAGTGAAATTGCTTGGTTTCTAAAAAAAAAGTATGCATAGCCACACACTTATATTAATGAAGGTATGTGCAGAAGTCGAATAGAAAAAGCTTGAGATGAATATATTCTCTCTCATTTTAGCAGAAATATTTTTCAAAGAATTGTGAAAATTTTCAAGAATTAACAATTTGCCACAATTGAACGTATTAAAATTCTATATTGATATAAGATCACATTTTATATATATTTTATACTTTTATATATATATATATATCTTCCATCAGCATACTAATTAGTCCCATAGACCAGCGGCAACTTCTATCAATAGTTTAGCGTTTACACTTTCAGTGTCCTCCTTCCCTCTCCGTCCTGGTACAATAGAAAAAATTTGCTTCAGCTTGATTCACCTGCCCTCTAGAAGGGCTCATTTTGAGAACATACGTGTAGCAGCTTTCCCCCAAAATTTAATATATTTTATGAGCAAATCTTCCTTCTAAAATGGTGGGGATAGAAGAAGAGGAGAGGAGATGTTTCATTTCATTAGGGTGAAAATACCCTCTTCCAACAAATTAATTAATTTGCAAATCCTTATAATATTATTGTAAATAGACAGAGTAAATAATATCATGGCTAGGGGCTGCATTGAATCTGTAGATTGCTTTGGGTAGTATGGATATTTTAACAATACTAACTCTTCCTGTCCATGAATATGAAATATCTTTCCATTTATTTGTGTCTTCTTCAGTTTCTTTCATCAATGTCTTATAGTTTTCAGCGTAGAGATCTATCACTTCCATGGTTAAATTCATTCCTAGTTGTTTTATTCTTTTGATGCCATTTTAAATGGGATTGTTTTCTTTTTCTCTTTCTGATGGTTCCTTATTAGTGTAGAGAAATTCAACTGATTTTTGTATATTGATTTTGTATCCTGCAATTCCAACGCTATATTTTACAGAAACAGAAAAAACAATCCTAAAATTTGTATGGAAGCTCAAAGACCCCCAAATAACCAAAGCAATATTTTTTTTTTTAAAGATTGGGACTTGAGGTAACAACTGTTACCAATCTTTTTTTTTTCTGCTTTTTCTCCTCAAATCCCCCCAGTACATAGTTGTGTATATATATATTAGTTGTGGGTCCTTCTAGTTGTGGCATGTAGGACGCCACCTCAACATGGCCTGACAAGCTGTGCCATGTCCATGCCCAGGATCTGAACCAGCAAAACGCTGGGCTGCTGAAGCAGAGTGCATGAACTTAACCACTCAGCCACAAGGCTGGCCCCAACCAAAGCAATCTTGAGAAAGAAGAACAAAGCCAGAGGAATCACACTTCCTGATTTCCAACTATGTTACAAAGCTATAGTAATCAAAACTGTATAATATTGGCAGAAAAACAGACACATAGACCAATGAAACAGAATAGAGAGCCCAGAAATAAAGCCACACATATACAGTCAATTAATTTACGACAAACAAGCCAAGAATATACAATAGGGAAAGGACAATCTCTTCAATCAATGGTGTTGCTAAAACTGGACACCCACACACACACAAAAAAAGAAACTAGATCACCATCTTACACCATAAACAAAAATCAACTCAAAATGGATTAAAGACTTGAACATCAGACACGAAACCTTAAAACTCCTAGAAGAAAACACAGGTGGTAAGCTTTTTGACATCAGTCTTAGAGATTATTTTTTGGATTTGACAACAAAAGCAAAGCAAAAGTAAATAAGTGGGACTACATCAAACTAAAAATTTTTGCACAGCAAAGGAAACCATCAAGAGAATGCAAAGGCAACCTGTAGAGTGGGAGAAAATATTTGCAAATCATTTTTCTGGTAAGGGGTTAATATCCAAAACGTATTAAGAATTCATCCAGTTCAACAGCAAAAAAAAAAAAAAATCTGATTTAAAAATGTGCAGAGGATATGAACATTTTTCCAAAGAAGACATACAGATGGCCAACATGCAAATGAAAGGTTGTTCAACTTCACTAATCATCAGGGAAATGCAAATCAAAATCACAATGAGATATCGTCTTACACCTGTTAGGATGACTGTTATCAAAAAGACAAGCAATAACAAGTGTTGGCGAGGATGTGGAGGAAAGGGAATCCTTGTGCACTGTTGGTGGGAATGTAAATTGGTGCAGCCACCATCAAAAATGGTACAGAGGTTCTTCAAAAAATTGAAAACAAGGGCCAGCCCTGTGGCCAAGTGGTTAAAGTTCTGCATGCTCCACTTTGGTGGCTTCAGATCCCAGGCTCAGACTTACTCCACTCAACAGCCGTGCCCTGGAGGCATCCCACATAGTAAACAGAGGAGGATTGGCACAGATGTTAGCTCAGAGTTAATCTTCCTCCAGAAAAAAAAAAAGAGGGAGATTGACAACAGATGTTAGCTCAGGGCAAATCTTCCTCATCAAAAAAAATAAAAGTTGAAAACAGAACTACCATATGATCCAGCAATCCCACTTCTAGGTATTTATCTGAAGAAAATGAAAACACTAATTTGAAACATATCTGCACTCCCACGTTCACTGCAGCATTATTTACAATAGCCAAGACGTGGAAGCAACCTAAGTGTTCATCAGCAGATGAATGGATAAAGAAAAGGTGGTATGTAGGTATATATATATACACAATGGAATATTATCCATTTGTGACAACACGGGGAGACCTTGAGACATTATGCTAAATGAAATAAGTCAAACAGGAAAAGACAAATTCCATGTGATCTTACTTACATGTGGAATTAAAAAAAAATTGAACTCATAGAAACAGAGAACAGATTGGAGTTTGCTGTTGGGGGTGGAAGAAATGGGTAAGGGTGGTCAAAAGGTACAAACTCCCAGCTATAAGATAAGTAAGTCCTGGGGATGTAAAGTACAGCATGGTGACTATAGGTAATAATACTATACCATATATTTGAAAGTTGCTAAGAGAGTAGATCTTAAAAGTTCTCATTACAAGGAAAAAAATTTGTAACTACATAAGGAGATGGATGTCAACTAAATTTACGGTGGAGAGCATTTCACAATATGGACAAATATCAAATCATTATGTTGTACACCTGAAACTAATACAATGTTATATGTTAATTATATCTCAATAAAGCTGGAAAGAAATGATATCATGGCTAATTTCCAGACACTGAAATGATAGTAATAAAGAGGAGGAGGAGGAGGAGACACATAGGAGTAAAAGGGACAGAAGAAAATTTATTCTCTCCCACATAATAAATCAAAAGGAAAATTCAGATGATAACCCAAGGCTAATGACTTACGACTGCATATTTTATTTAATAGCTCATTCACTCTTCTTGTAATATGAACATTTCTTACAGAAATAGCTAAAATATTCTAAGCCTTTGATTGAAACCAAAAAAAGATCTAAGTTGACTTATTAAGTTTTATGCCATTAGTATTGTTTTTCAATTCAGTGACTGTATTTTCCTGTTCAATGAGTCATGGCCCAAAGTGTAAGAAATATTCATGGAAGACAAAGTACTCAGGTGAAAAACACAGTGGGTAAAAGCTCAAGAAATATCTGTAAAAATCCTAAAACCAATTCTGAATTCTAAAATCTCAGATTGTCCAGAGAGAGAAAGAAACTAAGAGAAACTAAGAGTATTATTACTTCCAAGCAAAAATGTAAGAAGCATTAAAGAAAATTAAAAATTATTCTTGCAAGTCTCAGGAAGACAAACTTGGGTAAACAGGTCTGTGAAGAAAGACAGGGAGCTCAACAGCCCTGGTAGTGACAGCAGATTACAGAGGTTAAAAGAGCCTGAACGTGGATTTGGAAAGGCCTGGGTCAAATTCAATTTCTAGTTGCATGAAATCGGGCAAGTCTTCAACATCTCTGATCTTAGATTCCTTTCCTATAAAATGAGAATGACAATAGTCCCTGCCTCCTAGGCTTACGATAATGCGTGATAAATGCTTGGCAGAGTACCTGTCCACAGCAACTGTTGCTGCTAAGATGATCAAAGTTAAGATCTCTTGAGCAAGAAAGATGACCACTTTACATGCTTATTCAAAGATGAACAAGAAATAATTTCCACTTCAAATGAGCTTGACCCTGAGGACTCCAAAGGAGACTCCACCATCTGACAGTCCATAAAGGAAAACAGAGGGAAAGGAAACCTCCAAAGAAAACTTGCCTCCAGCACAAAAACGCCGAGTCCCAGCTCTGCATTTTATTAACACATTGGGAGAAATTTAAAGTAATCTGGTAACACTGTTCTTAAAATGGGATTTTTCTCACATCGTTTCAACAGTACCTTTCAACACTCAAGTAAACATAGCCATTTGGAACCTAGTCTATCATAAAGAGCAAATCAAGAGGGAAAATTGTCGTTCTGTGTTGTCAATCCA